GCTATTCTTTAGAGCCTAAAAAGAGGAAAACTGGACTTCCTTAGATCTTTGAAGATTTTTTGCCACTCCTCCAGGAAGCTTCTTCAGTTCTAGAACAATTTGATTTTTATTTATAAAGCACCAAATCACAACAACAGTCACCTCAAGGGTATTTATATTGTAAGGTAGAGCCTACAATAATACATACAGAGAAAAACCCAACAATCATATGAGCCCCTATGAGCAAGCACTTTGGCGACTGTGGGAAGGAAAAACTCCCTTTTAACAGGAAGAAACCTCCGACAGAACCAGGCTCAGGGAGGCTCCGGTTGGGAACCGGTTGTTTTTCAAGCTCTCGAGACAACCATGACTCGGATGACTGAGAACCCACACAGAACATCCAGGTGCTGTAGCTTCCACCTCTAATATTCAAACTTTGGCCTCAATGCCTTCAAGTATATCACTGCTGGGCGCCCACTTAATTGCAGGCCAGCAGATAAGCGAAGTTCCCAGTGTCAATACCAAAGTGGTGTTCAGCTACACACTCTCCTAGTCATTCTGTAGTTTGACCTTTGCATAAACAGCCACAGGGGAATCAAATCTGGAGACTGCGTGGGCCGTTACAGTTCACCGAACAAAACAGAGAGCACCGTCCGATAAAGAACAGACTCACAACACCTTTTGAAAAAGCACATAATCTAGTCAGGAGGTATTTAAAGCTCTGAATCACACGCAGGCATGTTTTCCTGTCATTTTTTAAACACCTGTAAATTATTTATAGTTTACGCCACACCTCACATGATGAGGAGATAATCTTTTCATTTCTAATCCAAGAGTGTGTATTTTAAAACTTTATAGCGTCCCACGGTGGTGTGATGTTTGCATGGCCGTAACACAAAGTAGTAATTTTTAAGCACTTTTAAGCACCAGGCTTAAGAAAAAGAACAGACCGCCTAACATTAACAGCCTCATAAGCCAGATGGTGTGGTATTATGCCACTGTGTGCACGGCCTGTTGTTACATGATTGGATAAAGCATGTGCCTAACAAATGGAACTGCTGTTGTGGCCTGCTTGCCATCATAAATCACTGTAAATAGAATTATTAATTGAGTTTACATGTGTTTGATGTAATCTGTTGCCCTGCTTGCCGTGGAGGATACTCAGTGGCACCATGACGAGCGTCGTCTCTCCCGCCACGCTACCTTCTATCACGGTCCCTGCGCCGGCTTTATCTGGTGTTATACAGAAATATTTGAATATCTGCCTCTTAACCGCTTTAAAGTTTAAAGTTCTAATTGGCTTAAAGTGACAAGAGCTGTCACAGGCCGTATAATTTGTCACAAAAGAACAACGGCGGCTTTGGGCGGGCAATTATCCTTAACTACTACTATGTTTAACGACCACACAACGTGGCGCATTTAGGAACACACAATGTCTTCCTCTGACTGGGTAAATTCTTCATTTTCAACAAGAGACATGATTACTCACTCAGATACATCAAAACATTTTCCAGGCTCAATTAGCTATCCAGGCTAATGTTTTCGAAAGGCCCGGATAAAGCGGCGAATCGACGGCTGGCAGGGAAAATCTTTTGCAGCGTTTGGTTTTTCAAGCTGTCACCGATTAAGCCGTTTCACTGCAAATACGATGCCGAGCCTCTCCGAGCAATTACGACTGTGAAAAGGCCGCTTTCATATTTGATGGGAGACCTGATCAGCCTCACAGGAAGCCGCTATCAGAGGGCGATATTGAGGTTTTTGCCGCGTCGCCTCACCCTGCCCATCCGTTCAGCTCCTGTTCCACTCGAAGGTGGGACTTAGCCGGGACATATTTATGTTGATTTTAGTTTGTTCCGCTTCAGCTGCAAATGAATCTCTGCTGTAGTCCTGTGAGACCGCAGCCGCCCCTCCTCAGGCTCTTCTCTATTGTGTGTAGTAACAAGGCTCTTGAGAGTGTGCACTTACTTATGAGTGAACTGGAGGAGTGCCATGAAAGACCATTGTGCTACACATTTGGTCTATTAAAAGAATAAAAGTCTGCAGACGCTCTTTGTGAGTGCAGCAATGCCCCAGCCAACAACTATTCGGCTGTGTGTGTGTGTGCATGTGTGTGTGTGGGTAGGCGGCTAAGGAGCACAACCCGACACTCATGTAAACAGCTCCTACTTGTTTCATATGGAAGCTCTGTACCTACAGGTGTCTTTGTCCAGGGGACCACATAAGTTGGATTTCCCCGCCACTGAAGGCAAACGAGTGTATTCTATAAGCCACATTATGCTACAAAAGACATAATACAGCAAGAAAATTCCACAACGCCACTATCAGTGCTTTCTTAGAAAGGTTATTATGCCTCAAAGGCTCCAAATTGGCATAACAAGGAAAGTTAAGACAGTACCCCCAAACAGCTTTGTGCAACTTCTGTCTCTTGTACAAAAGGGGCTTTAGCAAAGCCCCTTTTTTCACATCAAAGCTGCTTTCTTTTTTTTCAGCAGAAAACAATGCTCTGCTTTTCCAGCTGAATGGGAAATCGTTCAGAGAAACCTTTTTTCAAATCAAAGCAAAAGAAATTTTAAAACTCCTTCTCAAAGAGATAATCAGCTACAAAACCCCTCAAAGCCCAAATCAGATCCGGGTAGTCCACTATCCAATGCCATATTAAATCTTCTTTTCACGCTTGTTTATCTGTGCTGGACCTTTTTACAGCTGAGATAGTTATACATCATCAATAACAAATGGCAATGTATGAGCTCGTTTCTCTGTCTTTTTTAGGTTTTGTTGCCTTGGTTGAAGTGAGTTATGGCTTGAAGCCATTTTTCTGAAATTACTGATTTTTCTCCCACCTGTGTTTCTTTAATAAGGTGCATCTGTGTGGAGAGATTGGAGAGTCTGTTGCAATTTTAAGTGAATTATACCCTTCGTTGGTCCCGCCCAGTCACCCACTCCTAACACCAATGATAATCAAGTGGAAGGGTCTAGAATGTACGAGTGTGAAGGCGAGCTTGCAGGCATCGTTTTAATTGTTGTACCATAATGATTAAGCAGGATTTTTATGCGGTCTGACTGGGGTCTGGCAAGATGGATGGCCTGAAATGCTATCTATTCTCGGGGAGTCAAGTCCTTGGCACCATAGTGGTTCACTGCTGCTTAGATTAACACTAAGCTGGAGGGCATGATTTCTGGGTCCTCTCCACCTTTCATTTCTCTCTTGTTGAAAAACAATCAAATATACAAGTCACGTTCTTCTTCTTCTTCTTGTGCTCTGGCGTACTTCCATTGCCCCAGTCTACACTGAACAGTGTTTAATTTGTTAAATTTACATGTTCATTTTTCTCTCTCTCTTTTTTAGATGGAGACTGAACGGCACGGAAGTAAATCCCAAAACTGGATCTCACTACAGCCTTTCTGGGGGCAACCTCAGAATCAGCCATCTGAACAAAGACCAAGATGCTGGAACGTATCAGTGCCTCGCCTCCAACTCTTTCGGGACCATCGTTAGCCGAGAGGCCAGTCTAACCTTCGCATGTGAGTTTATTTTTTTCTATTTTCTTTAGGCGCGCATTTGAGCCTTCTTGGCCTCCATTGGAGAAAAAAAAAGTACAAATAGAGGGAGAAAGAGAAAAACATGTCAGTCACAAACAAGGATAACATAGTGGGCTGCTCTTCATGACATGTTTAACATGGAGAAAGGTATCTCTGAGGTGCTATTTGCTATTTGTGTGTTGACTGGCGTTTACTCTATAAATGGCTGCACAGTAGACAAACAGAAAGCGCTAAACTCACTGCAGTGGAGGAAAAAGATCAAGGTTTTCCTCTGAGGTGCCTTGGAGTACAGGCACGGTGATGAAGTGGAAGGTTCGGGTCTTGGTTGTACGTTCTGCAGACTCAACTAAACTTCTTAGCCAAGTTTGAGCATTAACATTGGTTTTATGCTAATGGCTTATTAGCTAAGTGACCATTCAATCTCTTTTAACCCTCTATAGCCCAACAGCATTAGCATAAATGTGCTTATTTATTTGTAATATTGTCAGAGTTAGTAATGCGGATCAGACATTAGACAACAGACCATCTCATACAAACCTAGATAACAGTAGTTAGTTGTTAGCTAAAATGATGGCAGCTAATGCTACACTTGAGTGTCCTAGAAGTCACATTTACCCTCTGGTAAACAGTTCGTTAAACTTCATATGAGATTATTTACAAATTTCCTTAATCTGAAAAGGTTAGGTTTCTTCCACATCAAAGTAAAGTAAATTTCCAGTAAACTTCTAGCTAACATGAGCTAAGAAAAACAGTGGCAAAAACAGCTTAGCGACAGAAAAGTTCAGGATATCCTCACTCACTCACCTCAGTATCACTGTCATTGGTTAGATGTGAACTTCATCGAGTGATACTCAACTGTATCACAGGCCTGTCACAAAGTTTTATAGCCTCTTCGGAAACGCAGAGCAGCTGAAAGTAGCCATTAAGGAGCACCAAGGGTTAGCTGATGAAACTTTACTTTCCGTTACTTCAGAGAACAAAAACAGCACACCCACTCATGAAGAAATGCAAAGTCAGCACCATCACTTTTGCAGATTAATGTTTTTTTAATGGCCCTAGCATACTGATTTCCGACCAGGAGGACGACAGATTGTTTGATGGATCTTGATGAGTCTAACTGACAAGCCTCTGGACCTCATATTTCTAGCAGGACTGAGTCAATAAGTGCCTACTTTATGTGCCAGTTATTTGACAGGAGTAAATCCTGACATTAAAGGCAAAAGAGTGATCACTAGCTCAGATTAGATTTTGAGGTTTGGTGTTTGGGGACAAGGCCACCAATGTGCCTCAGGCCATTTGTTTAGTTCCTTGGACCAGCAGGAAGTCAATCCGTGATCTGATTCTGCTGGTGAATTTCCACTATGATAGGATGACAGTTCCATCAATTGTCGGACTCTGACCTTACCAACTTGCAGTTGTTGTCACAGAGTCGGCGTGTGCGTGTATGACCGAATGTCATCTATCTTCTTTATTACTCTTGGTATAGCTTAATTAACTCCACTGCATGATTGAATGGTAAAGGTTCAAGCGAATAATTTAAAGGGCAACTGGTATTACTTTAGAGTGTCATGCAATTCTTTATAGAAATTCAAGGGAAGTAAAAGATATGAGTGAGGTCCTCCTGCAGGAAGGTAGTCGGAGATATCCTGCTCAAGCAACATCGACTCCTAGTCAGATGCACACAGTGCAGGTATAAGTTGTGTTTCAGCACCTAACAGCAATATTTTTTCCTCCAGTAAAGGTCATGACCTTTTGATGGTAATTAGTTTTACGCATAATTTGACTGTGATTTTGACACAAGACAGGGTCTGAACTGACTCGCTCCTCTAATAAGCCCAGTGCTAATCGCACCCGTCAGAGCCAAAATGAGCGTAATCATTTGGAGCCATATAAATGCACATCTGCTACAATCAAAAAGGTCAAAAGTCAAGAGATTTAAAGCCTGCCCCATCTTTAGTGTAATCGTGCACTGTCATGAAGACATGTCCTTACTATAATTGATTTCCTGTGGAAAAAGATGGAGCATAACTAGAGTGTATACCGTAGAAAGAGGATGAACCTGTCAAGGAAACTTCAGCGCTGGGGACATGAAGGTAAAGGGAAGGAGTCCTATTGTTACTTACAGAAACAATAATAAAAACAATGTACTATAACACAAGTTTGTCCAATTTTTAAACCACATCTAAAAGCAATAAAATCCAGGAACACTAGGCAGGCACACAAAGACTGAAAGAAACCATGCATGTATCAAGGTACAGGTAAAGTCAATCGTGACAATAACAAGGTTGAACAAAGAAAGGATGTAAAAAAGAAAGAGAAAGCCACAAGAGGAACTAACCTTCAAAATAAAGCAGGAATCAAATGAAATGAAAGGCTACACTGAAAGAAAGAACTAGATTTGACACAGAGCAGTGAGAGACAGACCGGGGCAACGCAAGGCACAAAGAAAATGAAACAACTTTCAAAAACAGCATGAGAAAAAAGTTAGGATTGGAACAGAAACTACGGATAATTGCAAACAGCTAGTCATCCTGTTCATAACTGGAGGAACTTTCATTACACGCATAACTGTAGAAGTAACTCAACAAAATATGTCATCTGAGGATTGGATGATATGCTGCATTTTTCATGTTAACAAACCTCACAAAAAGACCAAACAACTGATCCCACAAAAGGAAATGCTATCTTAAATGCTAGAGACCTTTTGTTTTTGCCACAGAACATTCATTGTTTTGCACAGACTATTAAAAATACATCACTGAGTCACACAATTGCACATGGTGACACTTCTCTCATTACCACACATATACACGCTGTACAGTCGATACCACAGACACAGTAAATACTCATTAGCGCACAGAATGCACATCAATTCAAACCTGGAAATATTCCACAACAACCACCCGGGACGTTTGTTTGAGTGAAGTTTAACTCTGCACTGACCAGCCTGTTAGAGAAATCACAGATGTACCAAAATTATCACGCATGTGGAATTTGTGCATTTTCTGTAGAAATCAGTGCAATTAAAGGTAAGAACCACAGAGATGGTGGACAAACACTTTGCTGGTGTTTTGTGTTTTCATGGGAGTTACAGAGAAGTGAAATCTAAAATAGTAGCAAATGTTTACTTAAAGTACATGATAATGTGAAACAAAAATGTATTTCATTGTAACCTAATTTTAGTGAACTACTGCAGAAATGGGAAATCGAAATAAAAAAAGAATTCAGGTAACGTGTGAGTGTCTGTAGCACGTAGTTTTTTCTGTGACCGAACCCAACCACATGACTGGCACAACTTTTACTTTGAAGGGAAACCATTCTCCACTCTCCATTTGCAGGTTGCATTGCACCAGCAACCCTGAGGAACTGCTGTCAACCAGTTGGGGAATACACTTGTCACCCTAGCAACAGGTGACTGTGTTACTCCCAGTGTGGGAGACAAATCTCAGGCAATGTGAGCTTGACGTCATGTGAGAAACATCAATAGTTTACTCATGTGGCTCCATGCTGTAGTGGCTAACACATTTGACTTTTGCACAGAAGGCCTCCTGTTTGGGATGAGAAGGAGGCGCTAACTCATTCTTAGGGGTAGTGGACCCCTAGTGTGGGTCCCCAAGCCCAGGTTAATGGGAGGGTTGTATGGGGAAAGACCATTCAGCATAGTTTGTCATATTCTAAATACTACACAAACGTTTTAGCAAAATCAAAATCTGCTTCTCAAAAAACAAATTAAGAGAACATTTAATTTATTTTTGGTGTGGGTTTGAATCCAGGCTTCA